GGACTACAGGCGCCCGCCACCTCCCCCGGCTAGTTTTTTGTATTTTAAGTAGAGACGGGGTTTCACCATGTTAGCCAGGATGGTCTCGATCTCCTGACCTAGTGATCCGCCCGCCTCGGCCTCCCAAAGTGCTGGGATTACAGGTGTGAGCCACCGCGCCCGGCCTCTATTTTTTTTTTTTTTTTTAACATTAATGTAAAGTGATGATACAACATGGCTGTGAGAGGGGGCAAAGTTGCAGCTCAAGTGATGGGTGTCCCGTTTTCCAAACCACCGGGGTGGGGAAGTCAATGAGGCAGCTCAGCCGGTGCCTTGGGGAGAAGAACTGTCTGGCGTGGCTCCGTCGGGGCTCTTCAGATATTTGGACTTTGCAGTGGCATCTCCCATGGGGGACGCCAACGCGATCCCACTCACAATGGGCCTGAGGCCGCGCTGCCCATCACGGATTCATCCGTCCTCCAGGGCCCGCGAGGGGCTCTCAGCGCTTTCATCCTCAGATCCCGGGATCCAGGCGGTGGCTCTGTCTGGGGAGGGGCTGACTGCAGAGAGAACCCCCCCCCCACCACAGCGTTGACAGACACAATGACTGATGAAATTGCCGGAGCATGAACACTCAGTAGGCGCTCGGCATCGCGTGCACTGCTGTATCTCAGCTTAACTTTGTTTCTTTTTTCCGAAGCTCCACCTTGTCTCCGCCTCCTGCTCCAACTCGCCACTCTGGCCTGTCAATTTCATCTTTGAAACTGCAAATTTCTCAGATCCACTCATTTTTCTCTGTTTAAGCTGCAGCCTCCAAGATCCGGGCCCTCACCCAGCCCAGCCCCAGGCTGATCATCCATCCTCCTGGGCATGAGGACCCACATCAAGTCACCGGCCACTCCAGGACCATAAGGATACGGCCAGAATCCCAGCAGGAGGGTGGATTCTACCCCTTCAGGATGAAGTCCGGAGAAGCCTCCCTGGGCCTCCAGATGCCCAGGCAAGTGTAGACCCCGCCCCTGCCCTACGCAAGTGTAGACCCCGCCCCGCCCCACGCAAGTGTGGACCCCGCCCCTGCCCCACACCAGTGTGGACCCTCCTGCTCCCTGCCCCCTGTCCCCCACGCACGCTGTGCTACTTTCCAAAGTGTCTCCAGACTGGGGATCCTGCAGCGCCTCTGCCCCCTCACACCCTCCAGCCCTGCCCGCTGCCCTGCTGCCCCCCTTTCTAGCCAGTGAGCACCAATGTCCTCTGTCTGTTGTTCTGTATTCTCGATGGGATAGGCACCAACACACGTTTACACACTACAACGAGGCACTAACGAATACCCTTGCCCCGCCACCCAGCTTAAGAAAAACAACTTTGGATCCCAGGCGGGGGTCCCAGCCCTGCTCTACCCTCAGAGCTGAGCCCTGCCCTGAATTCATGAGCATGACAGCCTTGCTTTGTTATAGTTTATAGCAATCGGCTGTGCCCCAAATATGTTCATAGTGGGTTTTGTGGAATCAACTCCACTAATAAAGAGACATTCATTACAGAGTGGCTTGATAATCTAACAGTTCTCATACCAGTGAACAAGGAATAAAAATTACATTGATTTGCTGATTATTCTCCTGTGAAGATTTGGCTGAAGTCAAGGAAAGATGACAAACTTGCAGAGACACCGAGATACGCTTCTGCTTCTCGCTTTGGTTGTGTGGGAAAGGCCTGGCGGATTCCTGGAGACCTGAGGTTTCCGAGGCCACGCCCCGATCTCTGATGAATTCCGGGTGACAGGACTAGGTCACACTTCATTAGAATCGTGAATTCACGTGGCCATGTTATTCTTTGTAAAATAAAGACAGCTTGAATTCTTGATTTAAAATGTGATGTTTTATTTTTGATTTTCTTTTTTTATTTCAAAACTCAATTACATCTAAAGATACAAGCAGCATAAACAATAATCACGGGCCCACTGATCTGAGGTTCCCCAGCGAAGTCAAACCACAGAGACAGGAAGGAGGGTGAAGACTGCAAGGAGCTGGGGAGAGGGAAGGGGAATGAGTGTTTAACGGGGACAGTTTCCATTTGGGAAAATAAAAGGGTTCTGGAGGCCGGGCAAAGTGACTCACACCTGTAATCCCAGTACTTTGGGAGGCAGAGGTGGGTGAATTGCTTGAGTCCAGGACTTGGAAACCAGCCTGGGCAACATAGTGAAACCCTGTCTCTACAAAACATACAAAAATTAGCCAGGTGTGGAGGCGCATGCCTGTCGTCCCAGCTACTTAACAACAGGAATTGTTTTCTCACAGTTCTGGAGGCTGGAGTCCAAGATGAAGACGTGGACGGGGCTGGCTCCTGGAGAGGGCTGGCTCCCGGCTTGCGGAGGGCTGGCTCCCGGCTCGCGGAGGGCTGGCTCCTGGAGAGGGCTGGCTCCCGGCTCGCGGAGGGCTGGCTCCGTGCTGTGCCCACACGGGTCTTTCCTTCTTCTGTGCACAGAGAGAGAGAGAAAGAGAGAGCTCTCCGGTGTCCCTTCCTCCAAGGACACTAATCCCATGGGGTCAGGGCCCACCCCCATGACCTCATCTAACCTTAATGACCTGCCTCAAGGTCCCATCTCCAAAGCAGCCACACTGGGGCTTAGGTCAGCCTAGGGGTTCTGGGGCACAGAGTCACTCAGGGCACAAGGAACAACAAGGCAAGCGATCACTGCACCCTCTGCTGGCAGGAAGCACAGTGCCAGGCAGGACCCAGCAACACTGGAAGGTGGGATCCGTGGGGCATCTTTGGGGCTGCAAGTGCACACCCAGCTGGTGGCCAGGGCCCCTTTGAGGAGGAGACCCCAGGCTCAGGCACACCCTCCCATGGCCACAGGTTTTTAGGGCCCCACCCTCACTGGCCTGGTCACCCCCAGGGGCCTGAAAGCAGCACGTGGAGGGGCCTGGCTCCAGTCTCCACCAAGCACCCATTCTGAGAGGATGCTTCCTGCAGGAAAAACACAGCAAGGAGAGGCCCTGCTCCGGGCATGGGATGCAGAGCTCAGCTTCCAACTGTGGGTCCCGGCAGCAGGAAGGCAGCTCAGTGGGAACAGGACTTGAGCAGAGTCCTTGAGCAACAGGACTCTGCAGAGGTGCCTTCCTAGGGAGCTGCCCCACGTGGCACACAAAGCAAAGTCTTACATGCACATATGCGCCTGCATAGACACATACAGCATGTACAGACACACACGCACACACACACATGCACACACACACAGCATGCAGACAAACACAGAGTATACACACATGCACACATGCAGCCTGCACAGACACACACAGCATGTACAGACACACATGCACACACACACATGCACACACACACAGCATGCAGACAAACACAGAGTATACACACATACACACATGCAGCCTGCACAGACACACACAGCATGTACAGACACACATGCACACACACACACACACACACACACATGCACACACACACAGCATGCAGACAAACACAGAGTATACACACATGCACACATGCAGCCTGCACAGACACACACATGTACAGACACACATGCACAGACACACACATGCACACACACATGCACACACACACAGCATGCAGACACACACAGAGTATACACACATGCACACATGCAGCCTGCACAGACACACACAGTACAGACACACAAGCACAGATACACACATGCACACACACATGCACACACACACAGCATGCAGACACACACAGAGTATACACACATGCACAGACACATACTTGCACACACACAGAGCATACAGACACACATGTACACAGACAAACTGAGCATACACACACAGACGCACACACAGCAGATACAGACATGCACACACACAAGAACATAGAGACACATGCACAAACACACACATGCACAGATACAGAGCGTACAGACCCGCACATGAACAGACATACCACAAACACATAAAACACAACATACACATACACACAAACATACAGCACACAAACACACACAGGGACACATAGCACACACACATGTAACAGACACGTGCCCATATCACAGACACTGAAGATGGAGCAGAATGTAACCCCCAGAGGTGAAAGCTGTGACCCAAGCACGGCCTCATCTGTGGGGAGCAGGAGGCCGGGAAGCAACGTGCTCAGCCCCCTGGAAACACGGAAGGATGAACACGAACTCCAAGCTTGCACCAGAGGGTTTTGAGGCCGTGGATGTCAGTGCTGGTTTAGTAAGAGTTGCAGAGCCAGCACATGGTGAGCCAAGGCCTCTCCCCACAGGCCGCCCCTGCTCCCGCTCAGGCCCAGCTGCCCCTAGTCAGGCCCTATGGTGGCAGGGGCCCTCCAGCATCCTGACTGTCACGGCAGAATCTGCAGTGGCCTGTTCCATGGAGCCGTCACAGGCACACCCGAGGCTGGTTCTGCAGGAGCAGGGCTGAACAGGACGGCTCTTTCATATGCCAGACCCCTGTCCCGTCTCCACTGGCCGTGGTGAGGACTTGAGGCAGCGTCTCCCATGCCCCCAAGAGCAGTGGGGCCAGGCAGGCAGGGCAGGCTGGGCTCTGTATCCTCTGCTTAGTGATTGGATCCCCCTGACCTCACAGGCCTGGCCCACCATCCCCAGGAGGCCAGGCTGTCTCCAAAGATGTGGATGAGAGAGAGACAGAGACAGAGATGCAGAGAGACAGAGAGAGATCGAGGCTGTTTACTGGTCACTTGGGTCCAGGCCCCTTCAGCCCCTGAGCCACTGGCAGGGGCGGCAGGCCCAGTGCAAAAAGTTTAATAGGCAAGAAAGCAGGACGGAAGAAGAAAGCAGCTCCCCTCCCCCCTAACCCCATACAGAGCAGAGGGAGGGGGATTCGAACTAAGAGAAAACCCCCCTGTGGGGCAGAAAAGGGGCTGCTTCTATTGGGATGCTGGAGGAGGCGGTGTCTGATTTGCATAAGGCCAGAGGATTGGCTTGACCAGGTGTGTCATTTACATAGCCTGAGAAAAACCTGGCCCTCCCACCTTAGCCCTTTAATATGCAAATGCGGGTCTCCATGATGTTCCCAACACATGGTGTTGTCTGGAGGTGGCCATGAACTTGGTGCCCATGCTGGCAAGGAGAAGACAGCAGCGGGAACTGCCTTATTGAGTGACCCAGTTTCTAATGGCCGGCATTTGCATCTCAAAGCTTGCCAGTCCGGCCCTTCGAGCTGCCTTTTCTTTTAGAAAAGAGATGGTTCCGGTGTTTTTTATTACAGGGAAACTTACACCGAGAACCTTTACCTTTACTATCTGCCTAAAAATTAGTTCTGAATAACTCCTGTATCACAGGGTCTTGGCCTCTGGAGCCAGCAGGGCTGAGGTTCCATGGAGCTGGGAGTGAGGCCTAGCCTGGGACCCCCGCCTGGGCTCTATGCCTGGCCCCCGCTCACTTTTCTGGAGCCCTTCGCTGGGGCATTGGGAGTCACAGTCAGCAATCCTTTAAATTCCCATTTTCCCGCGTGTGTCTCTCCTTGGCGGTGGACCCTCACCGGGCGGGAGAAACAATCCCACATTGGAACCTGGCCCTTTGCCTCCTTGCATGAAATATGAACATTGCTCCGGAATCCACAGTGATCAAAGGTGGGTACCTTGTTTATTTTACTTTAAATGATCTTTTCCGCTAATAAGCAGCATTTCCTTCAAGTTAGTCTGAGTTAACAGAGCTTTACTCTAATGTATTTGTTCAAGCTTATAGAGGTAGATTTATGCTTTCATTTTTCTCTAGAGATGTCTGTTTCCTAGAAAGGGTTTAAATCCTGAATTTAAAAAAACAAAATTCTATCTAGCAGATGAAGAAATGGCGCAGACTACCTCCAGCCTGGAATTGAATAAATGAGATTTTTCTTCAACCTCCAGTGACAGTGCAAACTCATGAGCAAATTGCCCGCAGGGACACAACAGCTGCCACGTGGATTCCGCCCGAAGAGGCGTCCACTGCCGTGAGTGACATTTACATAAACAACCCTCAGTGCCCAGCAATGAACACAGCATTCTCCTGGGAGCACTCAGAGCGGCTGAGCGGGGACAGTCGGTAGATGAGGGGAGTCAGGGCTGGGACGTGAGGGAGGGTCCGCCATGCTAGACCTCAGCAGAAGCCAGGCAGAAAGGTCTGGAGCGTGAGGCTCGCTGTGGCCACAGCTCATGGCATGCCAGAGGACACAAGCCAAGGACGGGGAGGGAGCTCCAGGAAGGAGGAAGGGACTGTATTTCTCTCCCACAGACGCCGAGTCAAATGGCACTGACTGGTGGCCTTAACCAACAGATCAACCCGCTCACAGACCTGCAGCCAGGGACCCGTGACCTTGGTTCCAGGTGCAGGCAGAGTGAGCTCCCCTGAAGGTCCAGGAAGGCTCCTCCCAGCCTCCTGATGCTCGGGGGGGTGGGGGCTTCAGGCCTCCCCTGGCTGCAGCCGCACCTCCCGGCTCCATCTCCACACTGCCCGCTCTGTGTCTGTGATCAAACTCCCTCTGCCTTTCTCTCACCTGGAGGCCTCTGACTGCATTTAGGGCCCACCAGGCAAATCCAGGATCAGCTCCTCCTCAAGAGCTCCCTCACCTAATCCCATCTCTTACCGTGTAAGATATTTGTCACAGGTTCTGAAGATTAGGAAGTAAAAATACATTGGGAGGGGTCATTGTTCAGGGCTCCACAGTGAGAAAATGAAAGAATTGGGCTTCTGTCCCCTATCCCTTGCTTAGAAAGATCACACAGGAGACCACGGTAAACGGTCCCTGAGCGGGGAGAGTTCTAACCCTCCTGTTCACGAGTGAGCACAGGACTTACGTTGGTTCAGAGCCCGTGCAAATCGCCCGACAGGTAGAGGAAAGGGCTTACTGGTTCCATGTCAGAGCAGCCTTTCCTGATGAGCTCTGCAGGAAAATGGAAGGGCTGTGGCCAGCGGCCCTGGCTCACCCGTCATCCGTCACGCCTGCTTAGCAGGATGCCGCAGAGGGCCCTGGCAACCGTGCGGAATTGAAAGACTTGTTACATAAACGCTGCTTGTGTTTTTTTAACTCAAAGAACCAAAGCGAGTCACTGGACATTATCCCAACTCATTCTAAACGTAAACCCTTGTCATCCTGACCCAGCTCCTGAGGTCCTCCGAGGACGTGGCCTCCTTTGACCAGAGCCTCTGTCTTTCCTGTGCCATCAGGTTGGTCTTTGCCAGCCAGGCTTTGTGTGCTTTGATGATTTTTCATGCATAACTCATGAGGTGCCTGTGTTGTGATCCTCGGATCAAACGCTTTCTTCTGAGCAGCACTGGGGAAGGGTGATCCTCCCAGGCCTCGATGGGGTCACAGAAGGCAGCTCCTGAGTTACGGGTAAAACCCCCAGAGGCACTAGATTAATTGCTCTGGAAATTGAATCCCTTCATTGCGTTTTTCCAAAAGAAGGCGAGTTCCTCCACTTCTGGTAATCATCCCCCCTGCTCTCCAAGAAGGAGAGAAACTTAATCATCCTTTCAGTGCCTGGATGCTGCCAAGACACTGGCCACAGCCATCTCCAGCTAGGAACTGACCTTGGCCTTCCCAAGAGCTCTTAAAGCCACGCCACCACCCCAGGCATCTGGAAGGGCAGCCGGGGTGGGGACGGGGTGTGACCTGCTGGTTGCACTTGGCTTTCAGCAACAGACAACCTGGAAACCCGAAGGCAGCCCCACCTCGTCCCTGCCCAGCCTGACTTCATGCCTGAATCGATGTTTGAGTCACTCAATGCTCAGGCTCAGACACGGAGGCCTTAGGTCACTGACTTGCCAACACCATGATTGAGCTTGTGGAATTAATTATTTAACCGGTGTTAACATCTGCTAGAAACTGTTTGCTCTTCCGATCCAAATCACTTAAATAGAGAGAGCAGGTGGGGAGACACTATCCATTTTTCCTCTCCTGACACATTCTTCCACCTCCAATGATTTCTTCTGTTGTTACTACCAAAGTATCTTCAGTATTTACACTGAAGACACAATCAAAGAGCTTCAGGGATTAGAAACGGGCTGAACTGGCTTAAAGCAGAAGGAAACACTGATAAATTCTCTCCAAATGCTTTTCTCACCTCACAAGCACCTAGAAGGTGCAGCTCTATGCTGGTTCCAGAGCTGCCAGTCCTCGGTGGGGTCTGATCTTGGCACCATGAGGAGGAACTCACACTTACCGCCAGGGATTTCAACCCGCGAACATGCATAGCAACTCTATCTCAAAACATTATTTTTACCCCATTTCGCACATAAGGAACTGGAGACTCAGAAAGGTTATTGCAAGTTCCCCAAGGTCACACAGCAGGTGCGAAGTGGAACTGAGATTTCAACAAGGCGCACCTGACTTGGAACCCGGTTCCTGGACCACACCACACCCATGTGTGTGCATGAGTGTGTGCTTGCACGGGTATGGATGTGGTCTGCGTGTGAAAGTAGATACTAGGAAATGTACTGTCCTGGCTTCCTATTGGAGGGAAATAGGCATATTTGAGGAAGTGATAAACCATGTTTAAAAACAATAAATTCATATATCTCAATGTTTTTCGTCTTCACCAAAATCAAAGAAAATAAAGGCAAACACTCTAAATGGTTGTTCAGAATCCAATAGTTTGTATCTCTATGGTCAAGAAGGGTGATTTGTCTGTACCTGTCCTTGTTTCTGAATCATTCCGTGTTTGGACCTGTGTTTTACATATCTCTCTGTCAACATTTCACAGTCATGCTTAGATTAAACAATTCTCGAGGCCTAATCCATGTTGCAAAGAAATCTTTCAAAGAGCTGTACTCTCTGCTGCTGTCTTTATTCGAGGTATGGATCATGAATAAAAGGAGAAAGTCCATTTATTTGCAGCAGGGGGCCACCATACTGCACCCGGCTGGGGACATAGTTGTCAGAGGTTATCAAGGCTCCCAAGTCCTTCTACCCACAACCTAAACAAAGGAGTTTTCTAAAACACAGAAAAGTTACAGTATGTTGGCACCTGTGTGTGCATGTGTGTGTGCATGCACACGTGTGCATGTGGGAGGGGTCCGTGTGTGTGTGTATGCGTGGGGGGGTGCGTGTGTGTGCATGTGTGTGTGTGTCTGTGTGTGCGCTGGACTGCTTTCTTTATTCTTTGTCCAGGCTGCTCTTTTTAAATCAATACAGGGAAGGAAAGAGAATGGTCACGTCTGTTCCTAATGAAAACACACGTAAGGACCAGGAAACAGCTTCTGATTGAATTCGGATACTTTAATCAATAATCATCCCCACCAGGAAGCACGATCGTCCGCTGCGGAGGCATGGAAAGGAGGCGTCACCGTCCTTCCCCATCAGGGCCCCCCGGCTTCTGCATCAGCCAGGGGCCCAGAGGCCAGGCCAGAACTGAGCTGCCGCCATCCTGCCCCGTCAGGGCCCCCGGCTCGGCTCCTATACCAGCCAGGGCCCAGAGGCCAGGCCAGAACCTCAGGTCCCAGGTAGGGTTCATCTAGAAGGAAAGGCAAGCAGCCCATGGACGACGTCAACCACATTTCACAGGAATGGAAAAACAGTTTGACCTGGAGATGAGCTACCAAGACTCGGACCCTCCTGGAAGCAAACTCCTGAAAAACATTGCTCCAAAACAGACAGAAATGTAAGGAAGGGGGAGAAGATGCAGAACGCTTTGGGCCGTGAGGCTGACTTCTTTCAAGTCACCAGCGTGCCCTGGACCTCGGCATGGCGCTGAGTGGCATCTGGCAGGGCTGTATTTGTTGTTGTTGTTGTTAAATATAATATCCATTAGCACAGGGATATGACAACTGGACACTTTATCCACCCTGAAAAGAAAAGCAGCAAAACCCCATATTTATGACGCTTGTTTCTATAAATATTTTATTGATTTTATTTCGTAATAAAGATAGTGAATATTGGCAAAAAAGTTGTAATATATTAAATGCTATGAGAAAAATTACCTACAATATCATTACTCAGAATCATAAAATGGTAACATTTTGATGTAAGTTGAGTGCATGCATGTGTGTCATCAGGCACACCCGGGGGTGCTCATGGCCACACACACATAAATTCTCATACATTGATAGCATTCCTAGAGTAAGGTGTACAGCTAACATATCCTGAAAAAGTTATTAAATCGTGACTTTTAATAGCTGTGTAATGAATAGCCCAGCCCACGTATCCCAGGTGCGAGTGTAGACATGCTCCAATCTGTTATGGTCAAACTTCTGCACTGTTTTTAATATTCCAGATAACTCTAAAATAATTATCATTATTATAAAGTAACAATTCTTTATAGGAATTACTATAAAAGAAAATTATATTTTCAATGAAGCCTTGACTGTCCTGCCATTCCTGGCAAAGCAGGTGTGAAAACTCCACCTACTGCAGAAGGCAGGACTCCGTGAGCCCATCCGACTGCCCCCAGCGCTCTGGATTTTGCTAGCATGGCATTCACCACACAGGACCGTTAGGATCTGGTAGTTACTTTCTTACTAGACTGTGAGCTTCAGGAGGGCCGAATCCCATTCATCTTTTCACTGCTCCTAGTGCCCGTCCTGTAGAATCTGAGTAACACACGTTTTGTTTAACTCACAGGTATGTTTGTCAACTATCCACTGAGAGCACAACATGTTCTGGGCATTGTGCCAGCTGCTGCAGACATGACAGGAGATGAGAGTATCCCTGCATTCTAATAGGGAGAAAGAACATTCACGTGCACAGACATGCACATGTGTATATATGCACATGCATGTGTGTCCACACACTTTTGTATATATGCACACACCTGTGCATGTGTGTGCATGCACTCACATGCACACAGATACATGCACATGTACCCACATACTCGCATGTGACACACATACACGTTTGCCATGCACACTCACATGTGCATGCACATATGTACTCACACATGCAACACATACCTACACATGTGCCCATGAACACTCACATGTGCACACATGCACATGTGTACACACTCACACGACACATGTATACATGTGTGCCATGCACACTCGCACGTGCACACACATGTATGTGCATTCATGTGACACACACCTATGCATGTGCCTGTGCACACTCACACGTGCACACATGTGCATGTGTGCACACAAGACACATACATACATGTGTGCCATGCACACTCACACCACGTGCACATGCATGTACACACATTTGTGTGACACACAGCTACACATGTGCCCATGCACACTCACATGTGCACACATGCATGCACACCTGCTGTGCTGGTGCTATGAGGTAAGATGCAGCACAGCAAGGGGACAGGCAGCAGCAGACCAGGGTGCTGCCGTAGTGGGTGCTGAGGGAAGCTTCCCAGGCAGGTGACATTTAAGTGAGACTTGAGGGGAATGAGTGAGTCTGAGGAAGAATGTCCAGGACAGGAGGCTGCACATCGGCATGCTGGAGCAGCAGTGAGAAAATCAGTGTGCACAGAGGGCAGGAGGGGCCAGGGTGAGGAAGCAAGCACAGACAGGCAGGCAGACACCAGGTCATGCTCAGCTTTCTGGGACATGGTGAGGGCTAAGAACTTATTTGGAGTGATAAGAAGCCATTGGAAAGCTTTACATAGATGAACATAACTAGATTTAAAATGTTAAAGGCCGCTTGGCTGTTGTGTTGAGAATAGGCTATCGGGAGTGTATCAGTTATCCACTGCTGTGTAACAAATAACCCTCAAGTGCAGGGCTTAATACAACAGTAAAAACCTGCTATGAACCAAATGTTTGTGTTTCCCTCCAACCTCACAATCATGTTGAAGCCCTAATCTGCCATAGAGGGGTATTCAAAGGAGGGGCCTTTGGGAGGGAATTGGGTTTGGATGAGGCCATGAGTGTGGAGCCTCGTGATGGGATCAGGGCCCTTGCCAGCAGAGGAAGAGATCAGCACTCTCTCTTCACCCCGTGAGGACATAGCAAGAAGGGGGCTGTCTCCAAACAAGAAAGAGAACACTCACCACACACAAATCTGCTGGCAACTTGATGTTGGACCTCTCAGCCTCTAGAACTGAGAAAAACAAGTGCTGTGGTTTAGGTCCCCAGCCTGGTATTTTGTTATAGCAACCCCCAGCTGACTGAGGTCCATCTTCACCTTGCACAGCTTCTGTGGACCAAGAACCCAGGAGCAGCTTAGCCAGACTGTGGTGGCTCAGGGTCTCTCATGTGGTTGCAGGAAAGACATCAGTCTCATCTTAAGGCTCAGGTGAGGCTGCAAGATGCCCTTCCAAGGTGATCCACCCACGTGGCTGGTGGGCTGGTCCAGGATCTTGGCGGGAGGCCCCTGTTTCTCCCCACAAGAGCCTCTCCATGGGACTGCTTGAGCATCCTCACAACATGGCAGCTGACTTCCCTCAGGTACAGCAATCCCAGAGACCAAGTCAGGAACTGCTGTGCCCTGTGACCTGGTCTTGGGAGTCATCTGTCACCTCTGCCAAGCTCCATTCATCACACATGAGCTCCAGTCCTGTGTAGGGCAGGCTGCACGTGAAGGAATACCAGAAGGCAGAGGTACTAAGAGCTGTCCTGGAGGCTGACCCCCACAGAGAGGGAAAGCAGGGGTGGGAGACTGGTGAGCAGGTACATGCAGAGTGTGGGAGCAAGACCCAGGGTGGTGCCAGTGAAGAGGACAGGAGTGGGTAGTCTGAAGGCACCATGTGGAGGTCGAGTTAGCTGTGAAGTGTTGGCTGGGATTGATGTGGTAGTAAGAGATCATCGGGGATGATGCCAGTGTCTTCAGTGGGAACCCAGTGGAAGGGCTATTCACTGAGAGAGGGAACTCTGGAAGAAAAGCACTTTCTAGAAACCACTTATCTTTTTGAAGCTATATCTGCGTCCAGTGGTACTAGTTTTCCACGCAGATAGTTCATAACCAGGTCGAGTCAGGATAAGTATGCATGCTCCTTCTCTGAACACCTTCATCGTGGAAGAATTTGGCCAGCTCAGCAGCAGGAAGACCAGATTCTCACCCCTGTGCTGTCCCTGCTTTGCACAAGCAGTTCATCCCCTTGCAGGGTCTCAGTTTCCTCACCAATAAAATAAAATACTGAACCGGATGTAACGTTCTCTGCAAGTTTTTGACAAACACCAAGAAGAATTCATTGCTGATAAGATTGTTATGCTTTGAAGCCTAGACTTAACATTATATGCATCTGTGCACATGGACCAATTAGATTAATAAGGCAGAAAAATGAAATTAAGCTGCTAAGAAGCATTATTTAGATCTTGAAAACATTCTTATCTTTTGCATGGGTCTCTAATTTCAATCAATTGATTATTACAGAAAGATATAGATTGATCCGTGACGGTCACGAAATAAAACTCTGAAGAGAGGAACCAAGCTCTGAGATTTGTAGTTTGGGCCCCAGTTAAAGTAGCATCAGCAAAACACAGGAAGAGGTGGCTCCAAACTGTCCCCCTTCCCCTCCCAGAAACATCAAAAAACAACAGAGGCCTATAGCAGCCAAGCAAATGTTGACAAGAAACAGCAACTTGAAAACAAGAAGAAAGCTCTTTGGCTGCTTTACTCTCCCTGCCCCACCCGCTTGAAGAAGAGGCTGTCCGTGTTCCCAGGGTGGGAACCCAGCCCTCACTGTGGTGGGAGCACGCAGGCCTTCTTCACAAATCACTGCATCTGTGTGTTCTAACCTGGCCAGGGGTTACTGGAAGGATGAACACGGATGTTCTTTGTTTCACGTAAATAGGAACTGAGGCTGGAAAAGCTGCAAGCATGAAGTGTGGAGCTGAAAAGGACAATGACTGAAATTAAAAATTCGCCAGAGGGCCTCAATAGCAGATTCTACCAGCCAGAAGACATAACCAGTGAACTTCAAGACAGGATAATTGAAACTATTGTCTAAAAAACAGGAAAAAAAACCATGAAGAAGAATAATCAGGGCCTCTGGGTCCTGTAGGACACCACCACGTAGGCCAACGTACATCATCTCTGACCACTATGAATTGGAGCTAGGAATCAGTAACAGAAGTAAAACTGGAAAATTTAAAAATATTTGGACAATGTTTTAATTAACACATTTTTAAAGTATATATTTATGGTATACAACATGATGTTTTATGGGAATCCTAGAAGAGAAAGAGAAAGGGGAGAAAGAATATTTGGAAAAATCAGAGCCCAAAACTACACTGTTTATTCCTACATTGTTTAAAAGACTAACTCATTTAAAAATCATTATAAATCTTTGGAGGCTCACATATATAAATATGTAGTTTGTGACAATAACACAATTAGGGAATGGAGCTGCATGGGGCAGAGTTTTTGTATCCTTCTTAAGTTAATATCAATTCAAATTAGTGTTATAAATTTAGAATATTAAATTTAATCCCAATAATAACACCAAAGAAAATATCCAAATAATGCCTATAGGAAATGAAAAGGGAATCAAATGGTTTACTACCAAAATAATGTCACAAAAGAAGGTGGTAATTAAGGGAATAAAATGAAAATCTGTAACATACACAGAAAACACAGAGCAAAATGGCAGAAGTTCTTACCAGTAAAAATTTTAAAAGTAAATGAATTAAACTGACTAGTAAAAAACCAGTGATTGACAAGTGGATTTTAAAAATGATTCAAATATATGCTGTCTTCAAGAGGCTCACTTTAGCTCTAATAACACTAATGTCTTGCAAGTGAAAAATAGAAAAAGATAGTTCATCAAAATAATGACCAAAATAGGCTGGTGAGCCTGTGTTACTAACAGACAAAATAGGTTTTAAGCCAAAAACCATTAGAAGAGATAAAGAAGAATATTTATGTATTGATAAAATAGTCAATTCATCAAGAAAATGTAACAATGATAAAAATATATGCACCAAACAAGAGCCCCAAAATATATGAAGCAAGCATTGACAAAATTGAAGGGAGAAAGAGAGTTCTACAATATGAGCTGGAGACCTGAATACTCCATTTTTA